TCGCACTGAATTAATTGATTATATACCGTTCGATTTTTTTATCCTTGAGTAAAGGATCTGCGTTTTCCTTTCTCTTTTTTTCCATTGATATATTTTATCATTCACCATGCGTCTGAGTCATGTGAAGAATCGGGTAGAGCAACAAGCTCTGCTACGAGAACAGATTGTAACCGCGTACGATCAACTCATAATAAACGGGATAGAAACTGTATCGCCTCAGCGAATTCAAGTGCGTCTTGAATTCCTTCATGAATCGTGGAGCAAATTTTCAGTGATACACGATGCGATTATTCTAAGTATGAACCTATTAAGCCCAGAAGACATATCATATTTGCATAGTCTCAATTATTTTGTTGACAATGTGTTTTCAAGTACACAGGAACGGTATTTAGAATCAATTGAACGAATAAACTTACTTATGGAATCAGAACAATCCTTGAATGGGTCGTCGACAACGCAACTAACGTCACAAAATTCACATAATTCAAGCTTGCCTACATTTCTTCATCACTCAAGATTACCAAGACTTCAGATCCCCAAGTTCAACGGCTCACCAACAGATTGGCTGTCATTCAAGGATCTGTTTAACTCAATTGTTATTGCAAACCCATCTCTTTCTTGTGTGGAGAAACTACAATATTTGAAAACTAGCCTAACGGGATCAGCAGCTCAATTCTTAAAAAACACTGCGCTAACATCTGACAATTTTCAGAAAGCCTTTTTTTTGTTCCGAGAGAGGGAAAAACGCATTTACGCGTACCGTCAGGCCGGTCCTGAACGGTTATGCCGGACTCACCCGTGAAGCGGGAATACTCGACTAAAAAACCCTCTCTTTAGGACCATCCTCCGCATTATAGGCGAACACTCCCGGTATTACTTATCGAAGGAATTTCTTCAGGAAGTATCCGCCCAACAATACTGAGCTTTATAGCTCCAATCAAGGGCGGCCAACGAAACACGACCGACGCCCCATGCGATCCCGAGTCCACAACGCGATTGACCCGATTTCGCAGGTCACCCACGGCACAGACCACGAACCGCAGGGCCACCGGTCGGTGGATAGTCCACGCGATAACAGATACGTCTAGCCAGTATAATCAAAGACACATATAAAGGGTGTTTCATTTCGAGGTATAGAACTTTAAGTTGGCAACACTTTTTTCAGAGACAGCCGATTTGACAACTAACAGTAGATTTTTGGTTAGGTTGATTTGCCATTTCATAATGAATAGACTCACGCCAGAGCAACGTATGCAAATTGTTCAAATTTATTATGAAAATAATGGTTCGGTTCGTGAAACTTATCGCGCACTACGTCCATTTTATGGTCGATATAATCGTCCATCAGAACAGTTAATTCGATTAACTATGGATCGCTTTCGCACCACGTATACTCTAAATGATAATACGCATCCCGTAAGACCTCATACGGCGCGCACCGAGCAGGCCGTGGCAGCTACAGTGCGTAGTATTGAAGAGAATCCAAATGAATCGATTCGTCATCGTGCACAACAATTGGGACTTGATCCAACATCTTTATGGAGGATTTTGCGTGAGGATCTTGGTTTACATGCTTACAAGATTCAACTTGTACAGGAATTAAAACCATACGACCATCGTTCGCGCCGCCAATTTGGTGAATGGGCCGAAGCCAATATTGACATCGATGCAAACTTTCCATACAAAATTTTCTTCAGTGATGAAGCTCATTTTTGGTTGAATGGCTACGTTAATAAGCAGAATTGTCGCATTTGGAGTGAAGATAATCCACGAGCCATTATTCAACAACCATTACATCCACAAAAAGTTACCGTTTGGTGTGCTTTATGGGCCGAAGGAATCATCGGACCATATGTGTTCAAAAATGATGCTGGTGAAAACGTCACAGTCAACGGAGACCGGTATAAAGACATGATTACTAATTTTTTTGTGCCTCAATATTGGATGGTATTGACATCAGAGACATGTGGTTCCAACAAGACGGGGCCACATGCCATACAGCGCGCGATACAATTAATTTACTGAAAGAAACATTTGATGAACGATTAATATCGAGAAATGGACCTGTCAACTGGCCACCGCGTTCGTGTGATTTAACACCGCTGGACTATTTTCTTTGCGGGTATGTGAAGTCACTTGTCTACGCTGATAAGCCAGAGACTATTGAACACTTGGAAGCCAACATTAGACGCGTTATAGCCGAAATACGACCAGAAATGCTGCGAAGAGTGATCGAAAATTGGACCTCCAGATTACGCCATGTACGCGCCAGCCGCGGCGGCCACATGTCCGAAATCATATTTAAACATTAATGGTATAAAATTATCTTTCAAATAAAGTGACATTCGTGTCCATTAAATTGTTTTTCTGTGTTTTATTTCAATTCAAAGTTCTATACCTCGAAATGAAACACCCTTTATAACCCCTAATGTTAAGAAAAGGTGGCTAGGTGTCCCCCCCCCATTAATAAGAGAACTTACTGCTAATAAACACATACTATTACGCTTTACGCTCTACACCACCCAAAGCACAATAGATGTGGAAACGCAGACCGACCCAAAAGAGTGCGTCTCACGATACAACCAGGAGAGATAACGCACCCTATAACGCAATGAAAATATATGCATATGTACATAGGAAAACACTGCAGGTGCACTAAAAACCAAGAACACGATCAAAGTTTGTTCGCGCATACCCGCTAGTCTGCAGTGTCAGCTACATCGTTGAGGGCTGCCGGATCCCGATCGTTCATCTCTCGAACCCTCTCTGCGTCTTCTTTTGCAAGCATAACTCTGGAAGAGAATTTGGAAAATGCTTTCCATTTCTCTTTCGTCTCCAGAGCAGCCGCCACGACTATTTGTAGCGTAAAGTCATCGTCAACCCCAAGATCACTTAGGAGTTCCTCGCGTTCCCCCGTCCAGGCTGGGCAGTGCACAAGAGTGTGCTCCGACGTATCCTCCGCGGCACCGCAATGATGACAGGTCGGATCGGCCGATTTACCAATTTTCCATAGGAAATGACTGAAGCAGCCATGACCGGACAAAAGCTGCGTCATGTGAAAGTGTACCTTTCCCCATCGTCTATTGAACCAGCGGGGCCACTCCGGGACGATGGCAGCCTTTGAGATAAGACCCGGTGGTTCATTACTCTCGAGCATAGCGCGCCATTGGCGCATGGTAACAACACGCTCTTCGTCCTTAATATCAATTAAAGCTTCCCCTTCCACGTCGCCAAGCCTACGCAAGTCACACAGTCTTCTGTATATTCTACCCCTTTCAAGGGCTAACAAATACCACGGGAGCTGCCTGGTAATAAGTGAGGCGGCATCGAAAGAAACAGTACGGTAAGCCGCACATACTCGAATTAGAATAGTTCGCTGCGACGCACGGAAGAGCCTAGCCGCTTCTCTTGACGCAGAGAGAGCATCGCACCAGATGGGCGCCCCGTACAGCGCAACCGACGTCAATACATTAGCGTAGAGTCTTCGCTTGTTCTCGCGTGGACCCCTCAGATTTGGCATTAATCTGCTGAGGGCAGCAGTAATCTTAGTAACCTTGTCACGGGTTTGCTTAAAGTGCTCCATGAACGTTAGCCTGGGATCAAGAAAAACTCCCAGATACTTCATCCGAGCCGACATTTTAACCAGGCTAGGACCAACGCGTATGATAGGATCAATCGGAACTCGGGTGCGCCCTCTAAACAAAACCGCGACGGTCTTGCCTGTAGCCACGGACAGACCCAAACAATCAATCCGCCGTAAAACCGCAGTAACTTGGTCATTAACTCTGGAGCGCATCACCTCAACAGACTTTGCAGTGCCAATGATCAGGGTGTCGTCGGCGTAACAAATTACTTTACAGCCAGGCTTAGGTCTAGTTTCCAAGATATAATTAAAAGCTATGTTCCACAAAAGCGGACCCAGCACTGATCCCTGCGGGACTCCGCAGGTTACTGGTCTCCGTTCGATCAAACCACTAGACACGCGATACTCCACTGTTCGTTGATGTAAATACGAATCAATGATTCGCCGCAGGTATTCGGGATAACCCTTACGAGCGAGGGCCCAACGAATGGTCCCCCATGGCAGGGAATTGAATGCGTTCTTGATATCGAGATTAACGGCGATAGCAAAGCCATTAGCCCCGACACCCCGACGAATCGCCCCAAGAGCAGCATCCAGAGCATCGACAGTAGATCGACCCTCTCTAAAGCCAAACTGCGAAGTGGACAGTCCGGCACCTGCGGTGGCCTCCATATGTTCCAACAGTCTAGCTACGATAATCCGCTCAAAAGTTTTGCCAATCTCATCCAAGAGGCAAATAGGACGGGCCTTAATCTGTGGCCCGCTCGACGCCTTGGGAATAAGCACGAGCTTGGTCCTCTTCCAAATACGGGGAAATACTCCGTCCCGCAGGCAGGCAGTGAAAGCAGCCGATAGTCGATTGGAGGCGACATCGGCGATCCTTCTCCATACCGCACAGCTCACGCCATCAGGTCCCGGGGCCGGGCTGCTCTTCTTCCTTTTGTGCAAGATGGCCCGGTGTACATCGAGCACACTCACATGATCCGCGGTGGTAAAGTGATTCCATCCCCTCCAGAGTTCCTCAAGCTCGTGAGTTTCCCCCTCCGGAAAGAGAGAATCCAGCAGTCCGCCCAAGGCATCCGAGTCCAAAGTCTCGGACAGGGCAGGCGACGAACTCCTCAGCCGACCCATGACCATGCGGTACGGAAGGCCCCAGGGATCATCGTCGACACCGCGTATAAGCTCTTTCCAAGCGCTGGATTTGGCACGACGAATCAGACCTCTAAGGAGCTTCCTTGCATCCCTGTATGCGTTTACAAGCTCGGGCTGGCCGTCATTCCGGGCATTAGATCTGGCCCTGGTCACTCTTCTTCGCGCCGCGATACAGGCTCGTCTGGCGGACGCGATCTCGTCATTCCACCAGTACATTGAACGTCTGGGTGGTCGTGAACCAACTCTACGTGCAGCAACGTCGCACGAATCCGAGATTCAGTCCCGGATGTCCGCAGCCAGACTGTCGGGAGAGGCCTCGCAGTTCATCCCAGAGCTAAGGAAGTTAAAGGTGGAGCTTAGGAGCTCCGCATCCAAACCAATTAAGGACCAACGAGGGTAAGTATCCTTAGTTACTACACTACTCGCCATATCCCTACAAATCGAAAAGGATATCAGTCTGTGATCTGAGAGAGTTTCCATGTCACGCAGCACGCACCAATTTCTCACACGATCGGCAAACGACGCAGAGGCCCACGTTAGATCCACGATGGATGATCCCTGGGGCCGGACACATGTAAATCTAGTACCCACATTACAAAGGACCAGATCAAACTGGTCAGCTAAGCTACCCAGTATCTCTCCCCTTCTGTTGGTAGTAGGGGATCCCCACAAAACCGAGTGCGAGTTAAAATCCCCGCATACAACGACGGGGCAACCAGCCGATCCAATGGCATCGCAAAGTCTGTCAGTAAAAACTAAGAAGTCATTAATGGGCCGATTCGGTGATATATAAACTGAAATAACGCCAATTTCATTAACTCGAACGCCAACAATACCATTAGAACGGTAAAACGCAGTACAACTAAAGCTAGTGAAGTCAGGATTCCATTTAATGGCTGCCAACGAGTCTGAGCTGGAGAACCAGTGAGGATGATCGACCGGAATCCTCCACGGTTCAGACAGACAACTGCGACGATTTTTCTGTTCTTAATTTCTTCTCCGCCCTCCCGTTACACGCGGACGGACGGGTGTTGCCGTCCCGCTCTCGCTGTCGCGCGCGGGTCTTAGACGAAGGGGCGCGCCGACGACGGGGAGTGTGGTCGCCGGGCGCGAGAAGCGCGGGATACGGACGGATCGGGTCGTCGGCAAAAACCAAGGGAGATAAGGATAACGCGCCGGAAAGGAGCGGGATCTCGGTAGCTCCGCGCGTACCGTGCCGCGAGCCGAGAACTCCACGCGAAAAATGAAGATTGGGCGCCAGACGCGGTCTTTCACGCGTCACGTCGCGAAATCCGCGAAATCGCACGAATAGTGCAGAAGAATTAGACTTAAAACCACTCGATTTTTGAAAAAATTGTAAACAGGCATTTGTTTGCATGAAATGGTGCGGAAGGTCATTAGAAATGAAATGTATGTGTTTGAGACTCGTACAAAGTTGGGGAAATATTTTTAAAAAATTCACGAAGCTTCGAAAAACAGGTTTTTCGCGCGTGGAAAGGAAAGGTATTAGTTCTACGGAAAAAAGTTTCGTACAAAAAATGTAGATATTACGAATACCTACAAAATGAGACCAAAAACGTTAAGATCGCTCCACGCGTTAACTTGTAAAAAGATTAAATCCATTAAAATAGGTCTGTTTTTCACTCGTTTATTATTAATAAAGCTATGAACGTAGGGCTTTGAAATTGTAGTAAAATATAGTGCTTTTTATGCTTAAAAAAATGAGCCGAAAGTCAACTTGAAATGTTTATTAGTTTTCGCAAAAAGCTATTTGTTCGTTAGAAACACGTCTTCGTAAAAGTTAATTTCTTCAGCTTTGGCAAATTGGACAGCAACCAGCGAGGGTGCTTTGCACTCTTTAAGAGTTGTGCTATTATGTACACTTTGACATAAAGTGATTTTTTAAAGTTAAGTCATGGAAAAATAGCTTTAAAAAGTAGGTATCTTTTTCCCATATAAATAAATGGAATAACTCTTGCAATTTTTATCGTATCGAATTGGCGTGTCAACTATTCAATAGCTGATATTTTTCCATGAATTTT